CCCACTGTGACCCTCTTCTGATCAGCTTCCAGAGCAGCCACTGTGTGGGCCAACCCAGGACTCACTGATGCGTGGCTCCATAGAGGCAGCGTGGCGTTGCACACGGTCTGATACTGCTCAGCTACACAAAGCGGAATTCTGTCCTCGTCAGCCGTATGAATGTGAACGAGGACCCTGTAGTAAGTGAAATAAACCAGGAAGGGAGAGGCAAGCACTGCCTGCTCTCACCAAAAGGCCCATGTCTCACAGAAGTAGGGTCACGGAGGTGGTTTCCAGAGCCCGAGCAGGGTGACGGGAGGGAAGAGCACGGTCACTGGGTAGAGGGGTGCAGGTGGGTAAGAGGGAGCATCGCACAGTAACTGTGTGTGCAACTGCAGGTGCACAACTGCCAGCAGACGAGACTTCCCATGTTCCAAGTGCAGAGGAATTGTGTGTGTGTGAGCTGAGAAGCACACTGATCCCCCTCGGCTGACCGTTACCCACAACACACACGGAATGAAATAGCATTCCAACCTCCTAAATATGTGCATCGAATGCCAACCAAAAATAAAAACTGAGGGGCACCGTGTGCCTGCACCTGCCAGAAGGTCACAAACGCCTAGTGAATTAGTCTTGTCACAGAAATCAAATGTGAATCCAACTGAGGTTTTAGAACTAACCGTAGACTTGTAGAAAACACAGAAAACAGAAAAACTTATCAAACTACAATAGAGGAATAAAATCAGCTGTATGACAAATGTCTGTTTTCTTTGACCAACACACTGCAAGTAAAGTAAGAAAGGGGGACGTAAGAGGTAGGAAAGACCAGGATGGTTCATCAGGACATTAAAAAAAAAACCTTGGTAACCAGTGTAAGTTGGATTGTAACCCAAACACCTAGGAAAACATTTAACGTGGCAATCGAGAACTGGAACACCGACTGAGTATCTGATGGTAGTAAGAGATTATAATTAAACATTCCCTGGCCTGAAATCTAAAATACTCTGAAACCCACTACATTTTCTTTCTTTTTTTTTTTTTTTTATCGTTACCAGGGATGGAACTCACGACTTTGCACTTGCAAGGCAGGCGCTTATGCCACTGAGCTAAATCCACAGCCCAACCCACAACATTTTCAATCTTGACATGACACTCAAAACATTTTGGATTTCAGAAACTTTCCACTTTCTGATTTTTGAATTACTGATGCTCAACTGGTAAAGTCTATGGAAATATTCTAAAACCTGAAGAAACTTCAAAACTGGAAATGCTTTCGGTTCCAAGCATTGTGCATCAGGAATATTCATCCTGGATTAAGTATGAGTATGGCACTGTGGTCATGGTTTTGTTTTTGGTACCGGGAATCAAACTGATGGCAGTGCACTTTCCAGGCAGGCACTGGGTTACAGTTTGTTAAAAACAGCCCTTTTAGTGGCACATACTATACTGAAATGTTTGCAGGCAAAAAGATCGTTGCAAACCCAAGGTTACTTTGGAATAAGCCAGGCTGAGAAAATCCGTCATTGAGCGCAGACACAGCTGAGCGACAGGGGCTGGCACTGGCCTGGGGGTGTCGGCCCCAGTACAGCGTCCTCACCGGTTTTGTAAATAGTTTCACTTTTGATTGAAAATTAAAGTTCAAAAAATGATTTCGTGCATGGGCTTAACCGCAGAGAGAGGTGTCTGGATGCCGCTGCGTTTTTACCTCTGTGAGACATTTTCTATTGCAATTAATGTAACTATTGAAAATAATACAAAGGAAAAGAAATGAACTAAAATGACACAAGGGAACAAGAGAGCGACGCAGGCACGGTCTCTCCCCTCCTGCGGCTCTGAACCATTTCCTGTCACCGGGTGCACATCTGCGCCCCGAGGTCCCATTTTCAAGGCCGCAATGGCCTCTGCCACAAACTCACTCCCAGCTCCTCCGGAGCCAGGATCTGCCCTGGTCTGTCCTCCCCAGCCTAGACGTCACCCAGCTTTCCACTGGGCTCCTTTAAATCCATTAACAAAATGAAAGTCACGGAGTCCTTGGCCCAAGGACCCATCGGCCACTTTCTTGCCTTCAGCCTGCTCTCTGCTCGAAGACCGAGGACCATGTGCACGGCTCCTCCGCCTTCTCCTCCCGCCGCTGCTGCATCCGTTACCATGGGGACTACGACCACCTGCCAGGGACGTGGCTCCACCAAGGTCCTCAAGGCTGCCAGCTCCAGAGCTGTCTCCTCTCTTCCCCCAGCCCACCACCGCCCTCGGTGACACCTCTGTGACATCTTCTCTTCTGACCTGTCCCCTTTGGATGGGGCCTGCCCAATGCTGGTGCCCCTGGACGTCTGGTCCCTGCTTCACTGTCCAGCAGGGTCAGGTGTGGGCCACATCAAACATCCAAGGGAGCCCCCACTCAGACCCCCGCCCCAGTGTTAGCATTTAAGGTTGGGGACCCCATCTGTCTGTCGTGTTAACCACAGCACCAGCACAGGAAAGACCCACTGAACACTGAACGAATGGACGAATGAAGACAGGCATGAGCGAGTGAATGAACGAACGGACAGAATTAAGCACTCAGCCACAGCGGACAACAGCGCATGGCCCTGACCCTCCAGCGCTTGCCTGGGCAGTGACACGTACGGGCTCAGCAGCCACTCAGATTCAGGGTGCCCATCCCGGGCAGCAGAAGGCCTGCTTCCGGGATTCCCAGTGGACTCCCAGTGCTCTGGTGCACAGGTCCCGTAGGAGCGCGGCGGGCACGGTCTCTCCCTGGGAGGCAGCTCACCGTTACACCTGTAACACTGCGCTGGCTCCGTGGAAGCACTGCTTTACAAAGATAAACAAGAGAAAAAGCCTGCATGTTAGTATGCTGGGTTTCCCCAAACATCTTCAATCCTTGGCTGGTTTATGTCTGAGGATTTGGAAGCCACACATGCAGGGATGCGTGAAGACACGTGTGTGCAGGCCTGCTGCCAGTTCACACACCCTCCTCCCCGCCCTCTGTCCCCTTTATTCTGCGAGTCTATTTTGTACCTTTATTTTCCTCACGAGTGAAACCAGAAGCGCTTGCACACCGGCAGGCAGGGTGCCCAGGCCTTCCCCGCGTGTGGGGCGGGCTGCACCAGTGCTCACAACCGCCGCGTGGTGACGGGGAAGGGGTTTCCTCTGGGAATGAACCGTGGGTCCCGCAGCCCGGTCCCGGATGTGTGGTTCTCCCTGAAGGAGAGTTCCACAGACGGCGGCACCTGCCCACTCAGGGGCCGGGAATCTCCAGCATGTGCGACTGCAGTGTGGTCTTTGGCCACAGGATCCGGGCGGCTCCTCCAGTGGTGACAGACGGATGACCCCAACTCGAAGAGTCCAAACATCGAGTGACGCTTCGTGTAGCAGCAGCTCCTGGAAGTGGGGCGAGCACAAGGACCTGGGAAACCTTGGCAGTGGATGGGAAAGAATCAAAGCGAACAAACAGGGCCGTCTGCCTTTCCAGCCCTGCTCTGCAGCCCAGGACTGAGTCCACGTCACTCTCACAGGCTGGTGTCAGTCTAGACCCTCAGCATCGCTGCAGGAGACCTGGAAGAGGACACGATGTCCTGAGGCCATGGTCACCATGGTCCTGGGGGATTGTGTCTGGAGCCTGGAGAACATTCCAGAAGTTCCTGACAGAGGTGGAGCAGGGTGGCAGGGAAGCCACCTTTCCTCACATACTGGGGGGTGACAGCACCTCCTGGCGCTGTGCTGTGAATGAGCCGGAGGGCACAGGCACACCTGAGCTCCCCTGTGGTCAGAGAGGCCAGCACAGCAGCCTTGCAGCCCCCTCCAGCCTCGCAGGAAGCACGCAAAGGGTTTGGAGGTGGAGACGGATTTTTTATTTCTTAAAAATCTGGAGAAGGTTGTATGAACTCCCCCCTCCCCCAACACACACGCAGCTCAGAGGGGTAGGGGGCGGCGCGAGGGCCGGCCCTAGCCGGCAAGTGGGTGCTCAGTAAACCCCACTTTTCTGGGCCAGCAGGGCAATCACGTGGGTCAAATTCAAGCCTGGGGCAGCATGGGGAGGACATGGCGTTCACACCCCACCGACTGACTGTGTGACGGTTGCTGGGGCTCCCGGGGACGACAGGGTCTCACGGGAAAGGATGCAGAAGCCAGGGCCCCGCTCCCCCCACCCCCACAAGATCGGACTGGGACCTGGAGGGCCTCCCTCCAGGGAGGGACCAGGCCGACTCCCCGGGCTCGGCCAGCCCAGCTGCGCGCTGGCCCAGGTTTAAGAGGAGCCCGTTAGGACGGCAGGGTGGGCTGATTCCAATCACCCGAGCAGGACCCCTTTCAGGTGCGGCCCTTCTGGCACATGAGTTAAGTGTTACACAAAACAGACGCGAGCTCTAGAATCAAAGGCGCCTCTCACTCCTGTACGAAGGGCTCAGCGCTGCAGCGGCCGGCGTGCGAGGTGGCGGGGCTCCGCAGCAGGAAAAGCTCAGCGCGGAGCGGACACGGGGGAGCCCGGAGATGGGCGCGCGGCCCGCGGGCGCTTTCATGTGCGCCCGCCTCTGATCTGCCGGCCCGGGCCTAATTGCCCCTGACTGGCGCTGCGGGCGCGGGGTCTGCGGAATGTGCAAGGCCTGCGCTTCGCGGGGAGCCTTCTCCCTCTGCACTCGAGCCAAGGATTCCTGCTCCACGAATTCCTTCTTCCGCAGGTCATCGGATTCTTGCGCGGAGGACGTGAACGCCGAGCTCCAGGTGGCCGCCGAACTTGTGCGTTTGCATGAAAACCTGGAGACGCGGGCAGCGGTGCCGCGCACGGCTGGGACTCGCGTCTCCACGCGCAGCGCGCCATCAGGCAAAGCCCGCGAGGCCGTCTGCTCCTGAGCATGGGGACAGCGCACCTGTGGCCCGGCCCGCGGCCACCAAAGGCACACACCGCGCTGAGGGTCAAGGCCTTGCCATTTAGCTAAAGGAAGTAAAATCAGGTCTAGCTGATTCAGACAGGTTAGAAAGCGAGGCAGGGCTACTGCAGAAGGCTGGTAAACCGACCATTTTAGGGAGGCCACACCTGTTCATCACGAGGTTGTGCGCTGTGTGGCTCACAGTTAATTCAGTCACTCCATCAGGAAGCACTGTTATCGTGTTTCCGGGCGAGGACACAGGCGAGTAACCCACCTGCACCCTCCCAGCCGGGCCAGTGGCGCTAGACCGGCCGGCCGGCTGCGGAGCTCTTGCTCTGGTCACCGCCCAACCCTGCTCCCAGCCCGCGGCTTTCAGCTGGTCCAGGCCGGTGCTCAGATCGGAGGCAAACTGAGGCTCGGCACAGGGCCTGCCTGCAGCAGTGGTCGGGGTTAGGGGACTCGGGCATGGACGAAGCACAGGAACGCGTCCTTGCGTCCCGAATTCCTCTAAGTGCTGCAGCATCTGCTCCACCAGAGCCGTGCCTGTCTCGCGTCCTAGATGTTTGTAGTGTAAGACCAGGGAAAGGGAACGCTCTCCTGCAGGCGGTGCAGGTGAGGTCCCCACCTGTGCTCATGTCCTCCTCGTCCCGACAGATGGAAGAAGGCCTTTGCAGACTAGTGAGATGCTGTAGCCACAGCCTGGGGCCATGAGCTCACAGGCTCCCCAGGGCCACTTCCCTGGTGTTGGGGAACCATGCTGGCCCCACAGCAGGAAGCTGGCAGGCAGCTCAAAGCTCAGGGTTCATTTGGTAAATGATGAACGCAAGTGTTTGATGAAAGTTAAAAAATAGGTGCTGGATCTAGAAAAGAAGCAGGTTGAGCATAAATGTGAACAAAAATGGAAATAACACTATAGATACAAAGTAAGATCAGGAGGCTGAGCAGGAGGATCGTTGTGAGTTCAGCACCAGCCTAGGCTACAAAGTGAGCCCAAGGCCAGCCAGAACCACATAGTGAGACCCTGTCTCAAAAAGACCAAAAGAAAAAAAAAAGATTAGTTATCAGCAAATAAAGTACACTGTGCTTTTATTCTGAAGCACATCATTTAACACCAGTGTCCAGCATGCAAACCTACCTGCTGCGTCTGAGGCCACTGGAACAGGTCCCACAAAGCCCAAGCAGAGGCTTCCATCTGTTCCTGTGGACAGTGGTCAGCACAGCCGCTGGATGATCCGGAACAGCAACCCTAAGGGCCAGGTCCCCTGAGGGGAGGGAGGTCTGCTGGCTGGGACACCTCGGGCCACCAGGAGCTGCAGCACCACCTGCGCGGAGCACGGAGGGCCGGCGCTGTCCTCCTGTGCCCACTGGTCGGGGCTCCCGGGCGGGTGGCAGTGTTGACTGAGGCCCTGGCGAGGCCATGCTGCACCTGGAACCCCACTGACTGGTTGCTCCACAGAGGGAGAGGCCATGGGGACCCCCAAGGCAGTGGGCTGGTCCTGGAAGCGGGAAGGGCGGGGCCAACTGTCAGACACTGAGCTGGCCTGGAAGAGCTGTCCTGGCTGGGACAGACTAGGAAAGGGGTCCCAGGACTTGCTGGGGCAGGGCAGGCTGTGCCTAGCGAAGAGGAAGCACAGTAGGCGGCCAGGCCCGGGGTGGGAGGCTCTGGCACCCCAAAGATCCAAAGGCTGGGAGACTGAGGACCGAAAGCTGTCCTGTGGCTAACACCACTGGAACTGCCCTGAGGGCTGCTAGATATGGCTGGGGGCCAGGCCGCCTCTACAGATTCAGGCAGGGCCCAGAAATGTTCAAGTGCCACTGAGGCTGCCCAGGGCCACTTTGAGAACCTCTGGTCACAAACACCAGGCTGAGTCAGTGACCCTGCTGTGGCAGAGACCACGACCATTCCACCCCTCGGCCACGAAGGCATCGTCATCCGGGCTTCAGGCACAATGTTAGGAGCCACCATCTGGAGGCAAATTCGCCAGGCTCCTGCGCCACCTGTTACATTCGGGGACGTGGGCAAAATTCACCCCACACCCAGTGCCCAGGATTTCACTCGAATGCCCACCTGCATGCACAGCGATGGCCGGAGTGGACCTGGCAAAGCTTCTGCTGTGCGGAGGACAGCTGGTACTGGACCTTGAGAGGCCATGAACCTCTGTCCTGTGAGCTGCGGGACTCCTGAGCACAAGCATGAACTCCAGCGGCTCTGAAGCTTCCTGCTGACACCCCGACCCCAGATTTGATTTGCCCAAGCAAAGTTCTGAGTTGCTTCTGGAGCTGTGTCTGAAATCAAACCAGTGGCCTGGGATGGGGAGCAGACACCACCGACTGCACCCCCAGAACCCCGTTTGAAGTGGGATTTCACTCTCCACCAAGCCCAGCCCACTTTCAGTCCAGAAATGCAGCCCACAGTCTCCGAGACACATATGGAGTGAATACGGAGGGTGAAGAGGTGCTAGTTTTATGGCCGCTTTTCTGACCATCCATCCGTCAGGCAGTGGAATTACTCGCAGGTCTCCGAGACTCCGTGCAGGGCTGGGAGGAGTGGGCCCGGCTGCAGGCGCTAAGCACGGGCGGGGGGCCGGGGCCCCCTCATTACCGCAGATCCCGCAGCTGAAAGCTATCCCACTCTGCAGTGCCCAATCAAGGGCTCTGTTCCCTTTAAAGCCTCTCCGCACATGGAAGCGCTTGGGGACCCGACCCGACCCAACCCGGGGCTGGTGAGGCACGCTGGGCTCTTGTGCAGCCCACAGGCGCCGCTTTGATGTCAGTGTAAACATGGTTCAGGAGGCGGCCCTCTGGCCGCTCCCTCCTGTCACCACGCAGACGGTGGCCTCACTGTGTCCCAGAACTCACCTTTGTCTGCCCCACTCTGACCCCATCCAGCCCTCTCGATGTGGCAGGGCTGGCGTCGAGGGTGTGGCATGGTGACTGTTGGGACCCATGGAACGGTGACATCTGTCAACGCCTGCCTTGTGCCAGGCGGGGTGCTAGGCCCTCTGGACGCGTCCCTCGTGTCATCTTACGGAGAGCTCTAGCACTGCTACCGTGAGTTTTCTGTCCCAGAGACGGCACACGGGAAGAGCAGGGCGAGTCGCTGTTCCGGGGCAGCGCCTGCCAGGGGGAGCCTCACTCCCCCCCGGTCACCCCTGGCCCTGCAACACCCACGGATGCGTCACACCAGCTCAGACAATCGAAAACCCTGGCTGTGCCAGCTCAGTGAGTTCACTCCCCTCCCGACACTCGGGTCCTGAACCAGCACCAGAACCCCACCCTGGGTGCCCTTCCCAGTTCCTGCGCCTCAGATCAGTGTTGAGCAGGAAGGGACCCATACAGTCCGTCTCCTTCCGGGCTGCCCTTCCTTCTGGTCTGGGATTCCAGTGAAGAGATTTCCTGTGATCCCCGCGCAGCAGTGAATGGTTTCCAGGGGACACACCTGGTGCACCCTGTCGTTAATGGGTGGGGGTACTACAGCTGAGGCTTTGTATTAATCACCTTTCCCCAACAAAACCTCACAAGGGAGGGCAAGGTGGGGCGAGACTGCTCGCCTCACGGGGGCCAGGAAGCAGAGAGAAAGCGAGGAGCCGGAGAGGGAGGTGCCAGGGTCACAACCCCCGTGACCTAAGAGCACTCCCTGGCAAGGCCCACCTCCCAGCACCCGTTTAGCCGAGTTCACCTGTGGGTTAGTCCACTGTGAGTCAAGACCCTCACGATCCAGTCTAGGCCCCAGAGCTGAACTGGGCTGATCGAGCCCCAGTCCTGGTATCTTGGGGGACACTTCCGACTTGAAACTACATCAGGCTGACAAACATGGCTGTCAGCATCGTCTTTACACACACGGTCACACACCTGCACCTCTGCTGGGCATGGAACTGTGGGTCCACTTAGCATAGTAGGCACTGCCAGGAGTCCAGGACGGTGAAGACTGGCACAGGCTTTGAGGGGCTGATGGACAGAACTGTGTCTCCTCAAAATGCCTGTGCTGAAGCCCTAAATCCGGGGCGACTTATCTGGAGAAGGCAGTCGTTAAGGTGGCGCAGTCCTCAGAGCGGGGCTGGTGCCCTGACAAGCAGCCTCACTCACCTCTGCTCCGGCCCAGGCCTGGGTGAGAAGGTGGCGGACGGCAGCCAGGAGGCACCCTCAGAGTGCCAGGCCTGTGGGCACTGAGCCTGGTGCTGCCATCCATGCCGCCCCTCTGGGGATCGTGTGACATGGGGCTGCTGGAGGGGAGCGGTGCAGAGCAGCTGTGCAGGCCATGGTGAACTTACTTCCAGGGGCATCCTGGTGACAATGTGGAGGAGCCAGGCTCTGTTTCCTGGGCTCTTCCACTCTGCCAAAGCTCAGGACAGGGCTGCGGTCTCGGCGGGTTTGGTGTGGACAGGATTGACGGAGGAAGGATAGATTTTGGCCCCGGGGACTGAACCTAGGCCTTCTTACTCACGGTTTAAATTTGAGACAGGGCTAGGTAAGTTGCCCAGGTGGACCCAAACTTGGATTGTCCTGCCTCTCTCCCAAAGCGCTGGGGTACCGGCCTGTGCCACCGTGCCCAGTTCGGGGTGTGGGGTTAGTGGCCTTTGCCTTGTCCCTGTGTTCTCTCCAACACTGCAGAAGCACTGAATGGGGATGTGCTCTGTAGGTGACTATAAAAGCACATGATTACTGGAAATGGAAATTAAGCTGGTAGTTTTTACACAAAATTACAAATACTTCTAAAAAGCAGAAATATGATAGGACTAATTTGCCAACTTTTTAAAAAGAAACAAACAGCTATTCAATGTACTACCTGCTGGTTTTTGCAAGCTATCGCCCGGGCCCTGTCGGGCTCTGTCACCCTGGCACAGGTGTCTCCCCTGAGGATGTCTCTCCATCTGCTCCCGCACTTGCCAGGTCTCCTGCACTTGGAAGTGCAGAATTTCCTAGGTGAGGTGGGCTCACCCCAAAGTGGTCAGAACAACCTTTGATGGTTTCCTGAAAGATTTATTTATGAGAGCTATAACCACTCAGTGGTAACATCTGAATTTAAAAGGATTTTCACTTTTGGTGATTAAACCAAAGCAAAGCCCCCAGAAGGGGACGGGGCCTGGAAACCCTGCTGTCCCTCCAGAGCGGTGGCACAGGTTGCCCCGGGGCTGCTGGGGGCCACGGTTTCTTCTAGACTGGATGGTCGCCCGTGGGTGTGGGTTCCTCTGGCTCCCGCGCGGTGGGGCCCTCCACCGAGCGTGCGGCCTTGGGCGACAGCCACATCCTGCTCTCCGGATCCTTGGTGTGATGCCCTCAACAGGGGATGAGTCTTCACACAGGGGCTGGCTGCAGGGCCAATGTGGGACACTCTGAGCCCACGCGCCCCATACTGCACTCTGTGTGGCCACCACGGTCGCCGTGGAGAGAGCTTTTCAGCGGCCCAGAGGACAGCAGGACGAGTCCATGTGTGCCGACAATCTCGACACTGGGCATAGCAAGGGTGCGGGCCACTTGCCCAGGGCTCCCCAGCCGCCAGCCACAGAGGGCCCCACACACACTGTCCTGAGGTTGCCCACGGCTCTGACGGTGGCTTGCAGGGTGTCACCTCGGGTAAGCCTGTTCCTCAGCATCTTCCGACAGTGCAAAAGATTCCTGGTATCAGACACCTGCTGATAATCTACGGAACTTCTCAAGGTGACACCGGCCTGGGAGAGAAACTCTACAGTGTGACTGGAAACTCCTCCAGCTTCTGTAACCATCAGCACAGATATTTCCCTGGCTTCAGGGCACAACAGTTAGGAACAGATCAGAAACAGGTAAGGAAAGCTGTTAGATGAACAAAGCAAAACCACCCTGACAGGAATGGGAGGGACAGAAAATGAGAAAGCATCCAAAAGATAAAATGATATTCACATGTTTAATAAATACAGTGTCATGATACGATCAGGGAAAATCCAAACAGTAGCAACTGAGCTCTGGCTTAACAAGGCAGGAAAATACTTGCTACATTTCAGCGAGATCAGTATCACCGAGGGTGGGTGGGTACGGGTGAGCATCACGGCAGATGTGCCCCTCAGCACCACAGGAGTCACTTATCCATCTTCCTGCCGCCACAGCCAGCTCCACAAGTGGCCTGGACAAAAGTCATGTGACCCATTCACCCTCCAATCGTCCAGAGGCAGGCAGGCCAGAAGCCGCCGCAGGGAATGGACGCCCCCTCGGGTCTCGGACACGTTTCTGCTTGCGGCTCAAGGCTCCTGACCGGCACGACCTGGATGGTCGGCTCAAAGACAAGACGCCTCCCCTCGGCTCAGTCCCTGTCTCTGAGCGGAGCGGATCGGGGACACTCTTCCCGGGCGGCTCCGGGCCTCACTCGTTGTACTTGGACAGTCTCAGCCGGGGGATGATGTTCATGGACTGCAGCTCCTGGAAGAGCAGCTTGCAGGCATAGGGGATGCGCAGCGAGGACACGTGGCAGGACGACTTGCAGTAGTGGCACCTGGAACCGAAGGCGGCAGCGTCAGAGCGGGCGATGCCGACCAGCCCGACCTCGGCCTGGCCCGCACAGGGACACAGGGACACAGGGACCCAGCGGAGGAAGCAGGTGACGGAGGAAACAAACCTCGTGCCCCGCCCTCCGCTCAGAGCGCTGGCTTGAGTCCCTGCTGCAGTTGGGCAGACGCTGCCTGGACGCTGTTCTGAAAGCGCCCAGAACCCAGGAGATTTTGGTTTTTCAAGCTGATGAAGGAGCTCTCTGGTCCTGCCATGTGAGTCACCCCAGGCAAGATGCCTGGTCACCCTCGGGCGTGGCATTTCCGCCAGCCCTGGAAGTTGCTGTCCCTGCACAATGTCCTTGACCTCAACCCCTGACCGTGTGCGTGCTGCGCCACTCAGGTCGCCCTCCTGCTTCCCCTTAGGCCTCGCCGAGGACCACAGCCAGGAAGTCCTGGGGAGGGAGGGGTGGCACCTTCGGGAGAGCAGACCAAGACGGCACCTCACAGCCTGCTTATGGACACACGGCGCAGAGCACACAGCAGGTGACGCCTCCTGGCTGGCCGCTAGCTGAGAGGCCAGGACGCAGATGCAGAGGGACGCTGTGCGGTGTTGGACACACCACGGGAGGCTCATGGGGACACCCACGTGAGGGTCTACACATCCCAGCGAGAACACAGCTACTTAGCAGCTGGGTCCTGGGAGGCTGTAACTAAATGCATGTTACCTGGGCAAGGGGACTGGCCACGATTGTCTCCCTGTATTTTCATGGGTTCTGATTATGGTACACTAAGCGAGGATTTTTACAGCCAGATAAGCGAAGTTTCATTTCAGGGAAGCAAAGCTAGCCCGCAGCTGAACATGGGCATGGAGCTGCGACCCCGCAGAGGCAGGACGGCCTGGGGAGGGGACAGAGAGAGCACAGTGTGGTGTCACGGCACACGTGAGGCCACACCAGGGGCACCTCACCCACAGACAGGACCGGTGAAGCCAATGACACCACCGCTGACAGTGTGGGCCACAAGAGGTGAGTGTGGTCCTGAGCGAGCGGAGTCATCTCGCCCTCCGACCAGACCCGGAGGCGGCAGGGCTGGCCACGATGCGTGCCCACTTCCTGCCTCGGACCTCACACTGTGACCTGCTCAAAGCTAACTCTGCAGAAGGCCACATGTGCTGCGTCTGATCTGGATGGCCAGTTCACCTTCTGCCTCATTAACCACCTCCCAGTCCTCCGAGCTGAAAACGTCCTGGCGCCATCTCCGTGCATGTGTACGCGCGTGTACCTGTCACCCGCATGTGTGCGTCACCGGGCCTTCTCTGTGTGCGTACACACACACATACCTATCGCCCACATGCACGCCTACCCTCGCAGTGGGTATGCCGGGCTCCCACAGGTAGAAGCCTGAGCTGAACCGCCCTGAGGTCCACTGATGCTCAGGACGGAAGCAGCCGAGGCAGCTGGGCTTCACAGAGGCCGTGGGGGTGGCCCGAGCACCGTTCCTGTGATCTAATTATCTTAATAGGGCTTCTCTTTTGTGACTTCTGCCTTCCAGACAACAGTGCCGGTGCAAACCCCCGCACTGCCCTGCGGGGCTTGGCTGACGCTTCAAGCGCCCGCAAAGCCGGTCCAAGGCTCTGAGCACTCTAATTACGGGGCCTCCATTGTGCGGCTCATTAGCGGGCGACTTCCTCCAGCCCACGCTGCCCGCCCGCCACCGTCGGAGAGCCGTGCCCATGGGGAGCAGGGGAACATCTTCACGCCCTGGGCCCAGGGCAGCCAGACCTCCGCCATGGAGGGTGCTTGCTGCTGGCAGCAGGGGAGAGGGCAGGTGCTCAGTTCTGTTTAATTACAGGACCAGCCCTGGAACCGTCTGCTGGTCAGGTCCTCTGTCAGAGCACCTCACACCAGCACTGCCTTGGATGGGCCGCAGGCAACACCAAAGCAAGGCCGGTGCACGCGGGCAGCGGATGGCGGGCGGGAGCCAGCCACGTCACTGTCTCCGCGGGCGGCCCTGGGCCGAGGGGCCAGCGCCGAGGGGTCCTCCAAGGGCTGTGGAGTCTGCTTACTGCCTGCCTTCTTCCCGTGGAGGGGAAACTTGAGGAGGAGGAAAGGAAACCAGTCTGTTTCCGAAGTTTCGTGGCCCGTTTTTAATGAAATGGCTCCCTTGTGCCACCATTTCAAAGCAAGTTACTGGAAAATCCTTGTGCCAAATTTGAAGATTTAAGCCTAGTGGAACTAGGTTTCTGGCATCTTCCTATTATGCTCTTTTCTTTCTCTCTCTCTCTCTCTTTCTTTCTTTCTTAGTTACACAGCCCAGACTATGAAAAGCAAGCCCAATATGCATTTCAAAAGACGAACAGACATCTCAGCACTGAAGCAAACCCCATCCCCTTGCTGTAAGAAAGGGCACGGCTCCTTCTTGGAAGAATGTCGCCATCTCCCACCCTCATGAAAAGGACTGCAAGTGGCCACCTCTTCTGCGAGCTCCTAAAATGAAGCCGCTTCTCCACAGCAGCCCTCGGCGACCCTCCTACACCAGGCTCACAGAATAATTTACTAAAGGTCTGGGCATTTAGCTAGCAAGGGGCACACTGTGTTCCAAGAAGCCCCCTTGTTCTGAGACCTGATTTTGCTTTATTTAGTCAACAAACTGGCAGCTTAGGATGGCAAGAGGCCGGGCTCCTCTGGAGGCAGGCGTGCAGGCAGGCAAGCAGGGCCCAGGCACTCTGGACCCCCTGAATGATCGCCTGCGCCCCAGCCTTGAGGATGAAGGAGGGCTCCACTCCGGAAGGGCCCCGCTGGGGAGCGAGCCACGAGGGCAGACGCCCCCGCCCTGCAGCACCTGCTGGGACTCGGTCAGACCTTCCCTCCCTCCCACAGGGAGGCAGAGGAAGTGGACGTTGGGCTGTGCTGCCCGCAGGGGGACTTTAGGGCTTGGGGTCTCAGATGAGCCCGAGCAGAGCTTTTGTTCTCTGGAGGCAGAGTGGAACCATCCCGAATGGCAAAGGGGCTGCAGCCACACCACCCCGCAGCCACAGCGCGGGCACTGCCCTCCGACCAACACGCCCGGAGCCCCAAGCTGCCGACTGTTGTCATTGACTTCCTGGTCACCCTGCGGGGTGCAGGGCATCCCTGAGGAAAGAAGTCTCTAGGAAGCAGCAGTTGGTTCCAGACTGAAGCGGCAGTCGGAAGGGATGTGACAGGGACAGACCAGAAGGCAGAGGCCCAGCACTGCCGCCAGGCCCAGGGGGAAGCAGGGGCCATGGCACAGCATGCAGTGAGTGGGTCTTCGTCTGTCATCATTTGCTCCAAGCCTTGGGGCAACACAGTTGCCTCTGGGTGTGAAGTTACTATAAGAGTGTGACACAGTTTTCCCTCCAGAGCCCCTGCAGCAAGCCGTAACTCTAACATCTATGGGGGCATCTGCTGGGAGGCCCGGGGCACCGTTTAGGAAACACACCCGAGATGGCAGGAAATGAGATCTGGACTTCGTGGGAGCTCAGACTCAGGTGGTGCACAGAGCGGCTCAGTAGGCAGACAGACGAACATGCCACAGAGTACCGACCTTGGGAGGGACGGACAGCCAGCCAGGAGGTGCACGAGTGATCACAGGACAGACCGAGATCGCAGTGCGTGGGTTCTGGCGCCCAGGCCGATCCCGCGCTGGCTCCACTTACCAGCCGGAGTAGCCCAGCAGACCACACTGGCCGCAGACGTCCACCTCGAAGGCGTCGCTGGAGATCATCAGCCTCTCCAGCAGCAGCATGCTGGCTCCGTAGCCGATCAGGCAGTCCCGCTCCATCTCTCCAAGGCGCAGGCCTCCGTCTCGGGACCGCCCCTCAGTGGGCTGCCTGTGAGACAGGTGTTAGAAGACAGTTACCTCTGAAACCAGCAGCAGCGTGCAGTGTGCAGATGCAGGCTGGGGCTCGATCTAAGCAAGGGTGCCCTGGGCTCAGCCTCCTGCCTCGCCTGGGAGACGAAGCCCTGGCTGTTATGACATCAAAACGGCACAGTCCCACAGTGTACAGGCCCATCAATGCCAGTGCTCGCAGCACCGTCACCGTCGGGCCACTGCTCCGATCCTGGGCAGAAGTTACAATGGGAGGCAGGAAGCTGTGGATCACTCGCTGGAAGGAAAGCCAGGCAGAACAGCTCCTTCAGGGTCACCATCTGTGTCACCTGTGGGCAGAAGCCCCTTGGGGGGATGCCCTCCAGCTGGGCCCCTGAGGGGTAAAGGAGTCGCTGTGCAGGGCGGGGCTGAAAGAGCCCCTGACAGGGCCTCCCGTGCAAAAGGTGGAGAAGCCGGACAAAGCACAACGGGAGGGCACAACTTTGCCCCTTAGGGTGCTCTGAGACGGTCTTGGATGCTGTGAGTGCGCAGGGAGGAGTCCGAGAAGAAAGCCACCCAGCCCGCGTGGGGCCTCCCTGGGGAACCTCTGCCCTAGACCCTCAGGCCTCCTCCAGCACCTGGAGTCTACGTCCCCTCAGGCTGGCCTCCACTCGGTTTGTAGTCAGTAAGTGTCACTGTTATCCTCCCGGGGCCTAAAATCCCCCAGCTGTCTCGAGTTCGGGCCCGTGTCACACCGCTGCCACGCCACGCTTAGGGCAGGCACCTGCTCTCTACCCGCCAGCGCCAGGGGTAGGTATGGTTACGTCTGCTGTGTACGGGTGAGCAGAACTGAGCCAGGAGAAGCCAAGTGACCGGTCTAGGCCCTGGGGGTACTGACCAGTAGAGACAGGGCTATGTCCTATCCACCTGGCCCCACTGAAACACGGAGCTGGGAGCACCTTGTGGGGGGCTGTCCCATGCCTGCCTGACCCTCCCTGCCCCCAAGCTGTGACAACCAGAATCATCTCTGGACGCTGCTGTCCAGGGCTCCTGAGAAGCGAGGCCCTACTGCAGAGGGTGGCATTAAGACGGCATGAACCCTCCAGGCAGCCCTCAGGACTGCAGCAAGGGTGAGGTCCGGGCAGTGCGGGGCCACGCCGCCTGTGGGTGCTCAGGAGCTGAGATAAAGCAGTGTGAAGCCCACACACAGCCTGTGCCCATCCCCCGTACAGCACTGCACTGTGCAGTTCAGGGACCACAACGGGAGAACCCCGCGCTGCTCAGCAGGGAATGGCCTTCTCCGCCCCACACCTGCTATGTGGCTGGCCAGCCAGTGTCCTGTGGGTCCAGAGGGCTGACTGTGGAGGTGTGAAAATTAAAGGCAGTGGCAGCATGTTGCTAGCTGCTAACCACATGACAGTAAGGATGCTGGACTGTATCATGTCCTCTACTATTATACATGTTGGGGATTTCCCCTTTAAAAATTGTTGAAAAAATTAACATGAAGGGTGGACCCCTTCCCAGGAATCCACCAATACCCTGAAACAGATGCTGCACTGCACAAGAGTGCCCAAGGACGGGTGCCTTGCCCTCCAACAATGCCAGCAATGTGGTCTGCCGTGTGACCATGTGTGTGCTGTGTCCCCAGGGTGCAAAGGAGACTCTTGACACACATGGGCACGATGCTCCGTGTGAGGAGGACACCTCTCCCCACAGCGACAGGGCCTGCAGCGGGTCTGACTGTGGCCTGCAGAGTACGTTTTAATTGTGTGTTGCTCACAAGCACATTTTCTTAATGCCTGACACCCTGCCTCCAGATGTGTCGGGACACAGAGCCCTCAGCCTGCCCAAGGCGTCCGGAAGGTGTGCAGTGGCCCGAGTTCCCCGGATGGCCCTGAGCCCGTGCTCACCTGGTGAGGACGGCGCGTGGCCCACGGGCCCGGGCGTGCATCTTGTCCAGAACCATGTGCTTGAGCTTCTGGTAGTAAACGGGTCCGAAGTAGATGTAGGCTTCCAAGGGCTCCCTGTAGGGGTGGAGCAGAGCGGTGAGGGTCAGAGCCAGCTGCTAGCGCCCACTGCTGCACGTCCCGACTCACCAGGTCTATGCCAGGCATGAAGGGTGTGCGAGTTCAGGGAGGCCACTTCCTGCCACCCCCTCCTCAGCCAGGGCTGCACAGAGCATCTCCTCCCAGGTCTTCCTATCCCACACCTGTTCCTCAACAAATGAACACACACACACACGCTCCATGCCAAGCTCCCACGCACACAATCTGTGTCGCCAGAACTCAGTGACACGGCCAGGAGGACAAACATCATCACCTCCTGCTGCCTTGTACTCGCTTCCTGTCCTCTCAGGCACTGGCTGCTTCACTGCAGCACGCCCTGCCCACTGGCCTCTGCCTGGGACATTCTGTCACCAGGGTGCACGTGGCCCTGCCCTCCTCAGCACCGCCTGCTGCTGGACTGCTGTGTGTTGCTGCTCTGGCTGTTGCCGTCTTCCCCACCAGGACCGAACTCCAAAAGAGTAAGCCCTTTGCCTCCTCTGACCCCGTGTGTGGGCAGCCAGCACCCGTAAGCGTGTGACACACCTTGTTCAGTGATTCTGCACACCTGTGCTGAGCATTTGAAGCACATGGGCACACAGGTGCTTCGATAGAAGAACCAAAAGAGAAAGGACACAGTACAAAGCCTTTTTAAAGTCTGGAGCAAGATCAGGGAACAGGAGCTGGGTCACAGCAGGGGACGGGAGCAGCAAAGGACCCCATGGGCTCAGGGGATAGCAGCTGTGCACAGCTGGCTCTGCTCACTTGCACACTTGCACTCATGGTATTCTCAGCTACCCCTGGGGCTCAGGGAAGCCGGACCTGGGGAACCCTGGAGGGCGGGAGACACCATGGCGAGAGCGCCAGGGTTGTCCAAAGAAGAGGGTGACCAGCCCGAGGCCCTTGCTAGTTCCCAGGAGGGGCACTTCCAGGCCTCTGTAACATGGCTGCTCCGGAAGGGACTAATGGAGCCCAGGGCGCCCCCTCCGTCCACCAAGGCCACACACAGTCCTTCTCCCAGCCACGCTCATGACAAACAAGCTGTGGCATTCTGAGCTAACAAGCCGGCAGCGCCTCTCACACTTCACCATGGAGATGGTGGCAGAGACGGGGACTCTGGCAGCGGTGCAGGGGCACTGTGGACCGAGGTGCAGACAACAGCCGTGCGCAGCACGCATGCACAGCACCCTCGCCAGACCTGAGCTCCAGCACGCTTTCCGGCTGGCATGATGTCTGGTTGAGCAGCACTGCCGCTGTCTTTGAGAGGGACCTTCAGCTACCCTACGGGCCCGCTCTTTGAAATGGCTCGGAGTCCCTCATGCAGTGTGGTCGCCACAGTCCCCACTGCACCATGCACCTGAGGAAACTGTGCCGCTGGTCCCGGGACTAGCTCAGCAGGCGTCTGGGGCACCTCTGGCACAGCACCGCGGGAGTCTGTCTCAGCTCTTGCCGAGCTGTGTGGCCTCAGCCACCCAGCCAGCCGAGCTCCCCTGGCGTCAGAGCATAGGGCAGGTGCCACATCCCAGAGCTCCACGCTGCACGAGACCCTAAGGGTGACCCTTTAAACCCTCACGTGAGTCAGTTTCGAGCCACCTCGCCCACACGGCCACAGGGACTGACCAGGGCGCTCCCGCCCTCCTGCACCCTCCCTCCCCGAAGGCAGGCCGGGGCCTTTCCCAGCTCCCTGCACGGGCGAGGTCCTGGGCCTCCTGCACTCCTCTCCACCTCTCCTTCTACCCTGTCAGGATGCCCGCACCTCTGGGAGCTCCAGCCTCTCCTGCCACAGGCTGGGAACGCTAAGGTCCCTCCCCGTCACTGGCCGGCCCTGCGCTAGGCACTGTTGGGAGACGGAGCCATGGCAGTGCCCTGCTCTCCACCTGACAGCGAGGAGCAGCCCAGAGCAAAGAAGCAGGAAGTGGGCAGCACAGAGTTTCCGGTCAGGCCCCGCGGAGAAGCTGCCTCCTGCCTGTCAGGTCCCATGTCTAGTCACAAACCTAAACGGCCAGCTCCACGGGCTGGGGACCATGTGTGTCTCACTCAGGGCTATATACACAGTCTCCGGACGTATCAGGTGCTTGACTGAACAAGTGCACACGCCAGGCCTTGGCTGCCAAGGCCTTGTCCACGCACCTGTAACCTCCGTGCATCACACAGACACAGAGGAAATTCCACCATCAAGGAAAATCCTCTTAGTCTACACCACTGGCATGTTCCTTACAAGGCAGAACTCACGTTTTGATGAATTAAATCTTTATGTTGCTCAGCCTGACCTCAAACTCATGATCCTTCTGCTTCAGCCTCCCCAAAACAGGGTTTGAGGCATCGCCATCACACCGACTTTCCACTTTTTAAAAGGTGGTGTGACCAAAGGAAACAGTGTTCCTCAACTCATCAGCCTTCCAGCTTGAGATTTTCTTGCATCAAAGCTAAGACACTAAAGCTTTCTCCTTGAAGCTAGCGCTTTGAGGTGCAGCCCTTGCGGGACAGAGCAGCCCGGAGCGCACTCACCCAGTGATGCCGGAGGTGACATAGTCCTTCCCCAGGTAGTTGTACCCGTGGCGGACGAGGTCCTCACACACGTCCTTCACCTTGCTCCCGCCGAATGCGGTGCCATAGTGGAACCTGCCGTCCAACACGCCCGCCTTGCCGGCCAGCAGCTCAATCAGCTTGCCCACCTGTGCCGGGGAGCAGCCGGTGAGCACCACGCCAAGGCGCAGGAGCCCTCCTTCCCACCAATCCTTGGCCTTCTCTCCCCAAAGGATGAGGCCAACAGTGGCAAGTGAACAGCAACTCTGCTTTGATCGAGCTGTGTGAAGAGTTTAACACAGGTGATCTGATTTTCTACCTCGAGACCCCTGGAGTTCACTCCGACCGCATCCTCAGTTCCTAGAGGAGCAGACACCAGGCGTCCTGTCCAAGGCCACACAGCCAGGACCGACAGGTGGTGACTACTGAAAGGGAGACTCAGGGCTCAGCCGGGGGCCCTGGGGGCCAAATTCCTCACTCAGGAGACCCCAGAGTGCAGCTGAAGCCCTGGTTCTCTGCGGAGGAGGGGAGCTCGGAGCTGCCCACAGCTCAGGGCCCCATCACTGAACTAAGCGCTTGCTTTCTTCCCTAAGCAGTGCTCTGAACAGCCTCAGGTGACTGACCGTCATTCTCGATGGGAAGCCGTGCGGGTTCATTATGATGTCTGGACAGATGCCAGAGTCACAAAACGGCATGTCCTCCTGGGGGACGATCAAGCCACAAACACCTGGGGGAGAGAAGATTTTATGTCACACAAAGCAAACTGGCAGAAAGGAAGAACAGGGTACTTACTTGGGATCTCCCTGCTGCCGTTTCTGTCCTCTGCTCTGAAACCCTCCCCATGGCCTCCATCATGAGTAACAAAAGCAATTTCCAACAATTCCATCAGACAAACAGTTCAAAAATGACTCCTGTGGAAAAGCACACTGCTGCAGACCGTCGGGCCTGCAAGACACACAACGGTGGTGCTGTCGGCTGCCCGCCTGCCCTCCCCGGCCACCGAGACTAGATTGGCACCCACCCTGGCCTGGGGCCTGCACCAGCTTGAAGTCAGCAGCAACTCTGCTCCTCGGCAGCTGCTCATGGGCTGCAGGGCCCTGCACCCCAATCACAGAACCAGACCCTCTGACAGCAAACCGCAGTGCCTTTCAGCACTGAGACCAGAGGTGCTCCTGTGGGGCTGAGGTGCTGACGGGGCCCCTGCTGTCCGGGGCACCGCTGGCCTGGCAGATTGGCCAGGTATCCCTGGCTGAGCCTCTACTGCCCCCAGGAATTTTAATTCCTGTAGCTTACAGCACATTAGCAAAGTGATCCTTGATTGAACTTACAAAGACAAATACGAAAACTAAATGCCAAATCATTCTTGGAGAAAAAGGCAAGAATTACAAATGGAATTCTAAGAATGAAAACACCCAAATGAGCACTACCCACTCTGCATGCTGCTGGCATCTGAAGTTAACTGTACTAGCTACTTGCTTAGTTCTGTGTGTAGCTGCAGGGGATTTCACTGTTAGTTTCATTTTAATTCTTCTGACTTCTTTTTTTGGGGAGGAGATGCAGGAGTAGCAGTCAGTTAACACACTCTACATAATTTTGATTGGGAAATACGTGTACAGTGGTGCTGAACTCAGAAAAACTGCGCTCATAGCAAAAAAAAATCCTTTTTCATGTGTGAAGTTATCAACTGCCCCAACTTCTGAAAGACTGCTGTTGAATGTTTCATTTCTCATTTTCAGTTGTGCACCATTACTCAGACCACGCGTGCATGTGTGCGTGTGTGTGGTGCTCGGATCAAGGCCTGGGCCTGATGCTCGGGAAGCAAGTGCTCTGCCACTCAGCTGCAGCCTCAGACCTCTCAGAACATGCCTGTGGGACTTGGTACAGAAGAGCTAAAGTCCAAGGGAAAGAATGCCATCTGCTACGTCACACTGGCTATCAGCATTCTGATTCCAGAGGCTGCCAGAAAGATGGTCCAGGCTTGTGGAGTGAATTCCAGAGCACACGGTGGCATGCTTTTCTGGCATTTTGGTAGTGATTGGTTTTGTTTATCATGAAGAGCGTATGCTTTCCTACATGAGGGACACACACAGACCTTCAGCACACTCTACTTCAGATTCAGCTGCAATGTGTCAGAATTTAAATCAGGCAGAGGGTGTGACCTTTCTTTCTTCCCTCCAAAAATCCATCTTGTCCACACTGAAATTACTGGACAAAACCTTGGAGCTGCTGGGAAATCTGCTTTGAAAGAGATCAAACTGTAAATCTGCACAACCGACAACAACATTGTTCAGCAGTGAACGAAAGTTAGAAACGGCAATGCCGCAAGGGCCGGACCTGGGGCGTTTGGGGAGAGCGTAGCTGGCTGGCGAATAGGCCCGGACCAGCTCTGTCCTTGAAAACAGAGCCAAGGAAAAAGTGCAAACACATCTCCAGCTGCTCACAGGGAGGGTGGCGACTGGGCAGGAGGAAGCTGCGTCCACCGCCACTGTCCCCTCCAGCTCAGAGGGTAGGGAGGGACAGGAGGTGGTGACAGGGGGAGGGGACACAGAGATGACTTCTGCGTGTTCTGTCTTATCTGACACATTCCATCCGATAAACTCAACTCTCTTATGTTATTAAAATGAGAGAAACGCTCATCCTGTCAAAACCAGAGTCCCTAGTAACTTTCCTTGAAATCTGATTATTTAGTGTAGGCTCCTTTTTTGGGGAAAGCTGTTTTCTTATCTGCCCTTTTCTGACATTTTATTTTTAAAAAATACACTTCAGAAGCTTTCTGAGTTTTTTACTCTATTATAGGAACTGCTCTGGCTCTATCTCGCCAGGGGCACCTGTAAGCCAAAAATTAAATCTTCCCTAACTTAAAATTACTTTAGGCTCTGAAAACCCTTTTATATGCCAAGATGGTTCCCATAGCAGACAGCCCTGGGTTGTTTGTTTTGTGTGAAAGTGAATGATAAAAGATCCATGAAATCGACACAGAAAGCCAGAACAGCAGAAAGAGCCGAGGGCTCTCCATCACCGCGCTCCTACCCTCCGCTGACTCGGGGACAATGGGGGCTACACATCCAACCGCAGATCTAACACAGCTGTGCATTTCATTAGACGAAGCGCATTAGTGACACAAGTAAATAATTAACTTATTCTGGTCCGCTGACTGTGCTTATGAGACCAGTCATAGCTGACAGATTTTAATACAAGTTAACACAAAGAGCCCGTAATGAGCTTAGAAGTTAAAACAAAATATTTAGACAGAATTTGATGATCTCGAATCTCAAATGAGACAGATGATTTTTAAAAGTTTGCGTTTTACTGAATTCATTAGGGATAAAAAGAGAGCTCTCAATCTTAGAACCAGGCTCTTCTTTTCTTCTTTTGAAAGGTATTTCTCAGTTTCAGCATACTTGAATCCTTAATCAAAGTGGGAAGGTTTCTTTTCTTATTTTCCAATGAAAAATTAAAACCGTGTTTTCCCCAGGGACCAGGGCACAAAACCCATTCTAGTACTAAGAACTCTTCAAAGTTACGGTCACTCTGCCTTGGACGGACGCGGCCTCACAATGTAAATGATATGCAGGCTGCTCAGTGTGTTAACCTCCCAGGTCCCTCAAGAGAGGAAGGGCTGCAAATACACCATATCGAATGGGAGCTGTTGGGAAACAATTACCGATTCATACCTTAAATGCTTACACAGCATTTCAGATTTTAAAATAAAATTTCATCCCCTGGTTCATGCTGGTGCCTCAACCCCATTGTTTATAGCACAGCCTCCTGGTGGTGAAATGCAAATACAGCCGTTTAAACAAGCACACAGCCGCTGAAGGCAGTCACTGGGGCCAAGCGGGAGGCAGCCCGCAGCCCAGGCTGCAGGACTGCAGGACTCTGAACACACGCACACAGACCCGAGGAGCGTCCGGGTTGGAAGGAGCAGGCTTCTGGAGCACCACCCCAGCCACAGGAGCTTAACTTCACGCAGGAAAGCAGAGACCATGGGAAGCCCAGGGCACCTCCAAGAGGTGCTACCGCGGGTGGCCTGCAGGCCCGGCACCGCAGGCTGCAGTGCCGGTCTGTGCCACCGCTCCAATTTTCAGAGCATGCAGGTCAGAGAACGGGGCATGGTTCCCCGCTCCAAGTCCACTGACCCTGGTGGGCCCTTGATTTTCTGGCAAAAGACCTCTAAAGATACACAGTTACTGAACTAAAGTCACTCCTGGCTTGGGAGCCTATGGATCTGTACACTGGACCTCCTTCATCTCACAGGGGAAGGGAAGAGGACGAGCCACGGCGAGCCAGAGAGGGCACGGCGCTGACACTTTCATCTGAGAGCCGCATTAAAGTGGTCCTCTGCGTGTTGCTGGCCAGTGAGCCGTGACTGAGCATGTGCCGGGGGACCAGCACTGCAAGGCGCAGTCGCAGCCAGCCAGCGGTGGCCTCTGCAGGGCAATTCGGGGACCCCAGAAACCAGTGGGCTCCCGGGGCTCTGCTCGCCGCATCTGGATGCCCCACGTGACTGGCGCAGGCACAGCTGCAGGGCGCTGACCGGGCTCTGACTGGCCGCTTTTGCCGCAGGCAGAGACCGAGCCATCAGACCAGGCCACGAGCTCCACATGGCTTAGCGCCCCGCAAAGGAGTGAGCTGGTGCCGTCCCTCCCCAGCCACGGAGGGAAGAGAGGAGGGAAGAAGGGAGGGAAGAGAGGAGGGCGCTGCCCCTGCAGATGGCATGGTCACGAGGCCCTAAGGCGAGGGCGCCCTCCGCAGTCGTCACGCTCAGAGCCAGGCCACCAGGCCAGTGCGGCTGACTAGCAAGGAACCGGGTGGCCTTTACGGACTCTAGGTTCCACAGGTATGTCACCACCAAGTGGTGTGCTTAGGGGAGCAGGGGCAGAGCCTTGTTTGTCCGATCTTCATAATCGGCACCTCATTCACAAAGGCTGAGCAGTGCTCAGATAAAGACGAGGATTATTATTAAGTAAGAACCCGAGTTCGTCTCGGCAGCAGGCACCAGCTGGGCACAGGAGAGGACCCTTGGGAGCAGCGCTCCTGTCCTCCGCCTCTGGCCCTGCGCCACGGGCTGCCCCGTGCTTATTCTGCAGGGCTTTGCAGCCCGGCTGCAGACCTCTAGCGGGAACAGCTCCCTACCAAGGAGCCTACATTACAGGGCCTCGCGGCTGCCCAGAGCCTTTCAGTTTGTCACTAGGAAGAAACGCTGTGCTTGGTAAACTCCTCTCTGAGGGCCTTAACACATTCAGAAATGTGAGTTCTACATGGAAATGTGAAGGCTGGCACGGATGGTGACCCCTTTCCTCCCTTCCCCCTTTCCAGTTATCGAACTAACCATCTTTTATTGTCACCATCGCCTTAAATAATCCCGGGGGAGGGTGGACGGAAAGCGTTGAATCATATTAGCTTTGTTCTGCTGCTGAGTCACTTCCAGACCTGTCACATCATCGCCATATCCTGGCTGACACCATTTTAATTTGGGTCTTCCTTACACGTTAACAGATAAATAATGCGTAAGAAAACTTGATTAGCTTTCTTATTAAAACATCACTCTAAATGAGAGGAGACAATGCAGTTTTTACACGGCTTTCCCAGGAGCAGTTGAATGGTTTGATGTGATAAATTTGCATAGTCTGAAGCATACAAAGGGCTGATTAATTGAAACCCTTACAATGCTTCTGGAAGCAGCTACTGTAAAACAATAACCATAGGAACTTTACAAAATACACA